CTAACAGCTGGTAACTGTGCAGGGGTGGGTCTAGCAAAGTTTTGCCAGGGGGCCAGGTGGGGCATTAACAGGGAAAGGGGGACACAAAGAAATACGTTTTTTTCTTATTCTCATTTAAAATGTCTAGCTTTGAATAAATAATTATCTGAATCTTACAACCAACGTTTTTATCTGATGTAAAATGTATAGAAATCATACATATACCAACAAGACAGTGTACATCACTGTCACAACAGCGTTTGTTTTCATTCAAAGGCTTTATGACTTTTCCTATAATACCTGGTGGGCCTGTCTCTCATCAAAATGCCTAGGCCAATTTTTTGTCCCAGTCCAGCCCTGGATACAACTAAGTTTAAAGATATAATTTATCCACTGTTATCTTCTTCAACGGCCTGTGCAAACACAGTGCATAGCAGTGACCTGAACACTACTCCACAGGTCGGTTACACTGTTAATAATTTTATTTCGTCACTGCCTGAAACTCTGGATACTGTAGCTCCTCTGAAAAAGAAAGCCTTAAAATTAGAAGTACTTGACTACCTGGTATAACTTTCAAATGCACATCTTAAAGCAGATTGTCATGATCCTGGGCCATGTTGGCCCAGCATTCTTAGTTTCACGTATTTTTGTATTTTGTTCCTTATTTGACTTCCCCTTGTGACTTTTACCCCCTGTGTGCCCCTCTGTGTATCTGTGAGCCCTCGTTTCCCCTCGTGTTTTATTCCATGTTTTCCCCAGCCCGTTATGTCTGTGCTCTCCCCGTGCTCCCTCTCTCCTCCTGTCTGTGCCTCTGTGTACCTCCTGTTTTACTTTGACAGTCTCCCGTCAGTATGCGTCATGTTGTGTTGCTCCTGCCCTGTCTCATTACGATTATCTGTGTCAGCTGTGTTCCCTGTGTGCTCCCACCTCCCTCGTTAAACCTCTGTGTATTTATGTCTGCGTCTCCCTCTGTTCAGTGTTGCATTCTCCCTCATTCATGGCCGTGTGTTTCTCTGTGTGCTAGTGTATTGCTTCCCAGTGTAGTTTCTTATCAGTTTGTTTCGCCGTTTCCCTCCAGCAATAAAGCTGTGTTTTGAGTTTATTCCTGCCTCTGTGAGCTTGCGTTTGGGTCCACTTCCTGCCTGCCACACAGCCGAATCATGACACAGATAACTCGTAAGCTGGAGAGAAAATAGCATCTCATTAACTTAGAAGATCATCATTTAACCTGGAAAAATTGTTTGTTGGTTTGTAAAAAAAATTAAAAGACCTGCATGAACCTGGAACATCTTACCATTCATCACTAATTAAACAAAATAAGAACAACCCTAGGTTTGTCTTTACCACTGCAGTCAGGCCAACAAAAAGTCAGAGCTCTGTTGAGTCAACCATTCCTTTAACCTTAACTAGCAATGACTTCATGAAGTTCTTCACAAATAATTTTTAACTATTAGAATAAAATGCTCATAACCATCTCACAAATGTAGTATTATGTACAGCTTCTTTCAATACCATTGATATTTATCTAGAATCTTTTCTCCCTTATTAAGTTAACTTCAGTAATTACTTACTCAAACCGTCAGAATGTATTTCCTGCAGGAAGAGCAATCTTGTTCTTACAGTAGATTTTTCATTTTTAAATATTTTAAGGACAAACATTGCAAATTTAAATGTAGTAATGTTATATTGGAGCATCATTATGACACTATTATGACATTATTAATAGAAGTGACGCCATTACTTTATTAAGTGCTACTCTGCTATGTGGAATCATAATAAGATAAGATCTGCAATTACGGTATATTGTGAAAATACATGAGATTTCATGTCAATTTTAAGCTTCATCAAAAGGATTTGATTTACTGTGTCGTTTTCTTTAGATTAATTGTGAAAAAATGCATTTATTCACTTTTACTCTTTACAGATGAAATAAGTAGCACTCATATGATGTTAGTTTAAATACAATGTGTGTCAGTGGGGGGAAGGGTGCCCTCATCCCCGTGCTTCAGATCGGCCCTGTCCGTGGAACTAACGGGATTAAAATCACTGAGATACCAGGAGGAGTTGCCTGTTTTGGTGCTCATTACCGAAGCTGGGCCCACAGAAGCTGTCCTTTGCATACTGCATTTCCATCTGCCAGTTCACGGCCGGAGATATTTCCATCTACGCTGTAATCCCACGTATGCTCCTGTTTATCATGCCTGGGTACTGACAGGCTGCGGGACACAATGAGGACTGGTCTCCGTGTCATCGCGCAGCCTGGAGCTGTCTGGCCTCAGCACGTTAGCAAGCTAACCAATTTTTTCTAAGCAGAAGCCCTGCATTGCTTCGACATGCTAAAGGATTTCATGAACAACACACGGGAGGTTTCCTCCGACTTGACTGGAATACTGCGCACGGAAGTGCAGCGAGGAATCGTCAAGGTTTCCGACGACCGCAAGAAGCCGAGGATCCACAGGGCGTCTGTTGCTGTCTGACAGCCCCGACCAAACATGGCTTTACGGCTGCTTTTACAGGATATTACTGCCTCAGATTTCTAACATATAAACAGGAGATACGAGTTGACAGCATATGCATCATAAAGTGTTTGAATGGCGGCGTACACACTGTGTGCTGTGAATGGGACTAGGCGCTTACTGGCCACCGGCACAGGTTGTGTGAAAAGCACCGAGATATGACATGCACAAGAAAAAAGAGGAAAGCTGCTTTTGCTTCTTTAAACCTTTTGATTTTTAAAGGTAGTGTGCAATACAGATTTGGTCCACCGGCAACGTTACCTATGCTTCTGTTTTTAGGCTAGAAGCCAGGTGCATCACCGTATTTCATGTAGACTGCAACAGACGTTGGACAAGCAACCCACGGCAGGTAAGGAGCTCAGTATGACTGCCATTTAATATTGCCTACACAAAATGTCACACTTTCTGCTTCTGTGTGCCTGTATATTTATCTGAGTGCAGTAAGCTCTTGCTGGCATCTTTCTAGCATCCTCCTCTAGGCCCAGACAATTGCAGCTTGCTAAGACTGTTGCCCTTTGTCTGCCCCAGCCTCTACAGGGTGAGCACCAAATGAGGGCCTCTGAATGTAGAACAAATCAGAATGTTGAAGCATGCCTCAGAGCAGCATAAATGATGTTGATGATAAATAATACAGGATTTCCAGCAGTTATACAACCTTGATCAGCACTGGGACTGCCAACTTATTTAGTATCATTTGATGTTTGGGCCATTCACAGAACACAGAACAAACTCCTGGGGGCATATACACAACGCTGTTTCAGGTTTTGAGACATCCACCCTCCTTAAGGCTGGACTGTAGCACCCGGTGGCCCCCATGTCCTCAACAGACCTATAGACTCCATGTAGGGAAGCCTGATGCTGGGTGCAGCTGTCAGAAACCAACAATGTACATCTCATCCAGTGAGCTTTGTTGCCTCCTCCCACCGATGTAAAGCTAGAGGTACTGGGTTGCTGTTGCTACCCAGTTCCTGACAGTGACTCTGCCCTCCGCCGCCAACCAACTTTCAGCTTGACAAAGCCCCTCCTTTAAGATGCACAGCCTCTCTCACAGAATTCACCACAGCTCCCAGCCTGTGGCTTAGCAGGGTTTCAATTCGTGTTGACAGTGTGCTCTTAGCTCTGTATTTTTGTAAATCCTATCAAATTAACTTCAATATAAATCCTGAAACGTCAGCAAGAGAATTCCTTCGGTAATGTGTGTTTTCCAATGGTTGTCAAATTGCTGTTTTTAGCTGTCATCTCAGTGCTAAATTAGAAACATCCAGTGTACCTACAGTTAAACTCATAAGGAACAGTTATTCCTACCACCTAGTGAAGCCAGCGATTTGAAACTCTGCTCTAATCCTCTTCTACCAAATAAACAGGGAAGAGCAGCATTGCTTTTTCACTTTTTGATATAGTCTTGAACAAAGCTAAAGTTTGTGGCTATAATGTAGCTTGCCATCGCCAGTGTGTGAATGTAGTGTGAATGACTGAATGTAGTGTAAAGCGCTTTGGGGTCCTTGAGGACTAGAAAAG